CTAACAGTACAAGCACCAACCCGGACTCCAGACCTGGTTTTGCTGTCCTGCCCTACATCAAGGAACTGACCCCTAAGCTGATCAGATTGTGCAGTCCTTTGAACTTTCGAATTGCTTGCAAATCCGTCCTCACTATAAACTGCATTTTTTCAAAAATGAAAGACAAAGTCCCGCTGCTTGGCTTAACCAACACAGTCTACTCCATCAATTGCAACAACTGCAACCAAATATACATAGGTCAAACCTCCAGATCTCTTAAAGGAAGGATTACATCACACAAAAGTGATGCTAGGCTTCATCCTGAAAGATGCGCTCTAGCATCTCATGTTAACACAACAGGGCATTCTATGAATTACACAAGTATCAAAGTTCTTGATAAAGAAAAACACCTTTCCAAACGTTTATTCCTGGAAATGTCCCACATTTTCATGAATAACAACTGTATCAACAAAAAGACAGATGTTAAACAACTGAGTGTCATTTACTCATATTTGCTAAACTGCGAAAAATTGGAGAACTTACATATCTCCCCAAATTTCAACTCTTCAGAACCATAATCATAATCTGTGTTTTGGCCGATTCCACCAGTAAATTTCATTCCACTCAAAATATAATAATTCTCTCCTCACGATTTATTAATAATTGTTAATTTAAATTCCCATTAATAATAATATAGTTTATTCAACTGCCTCTGGTCGGTTTAACAAATTCTAACATAAAATTCTGAAAATCTCATCATCTGAAGTGATTTGGCAACGTTTGGCACACGCCCACAATTCGTTCCATCTTTCAACACTGACATTGACATCCTTCGGCCTTCTGTCAAAGGGTTTCATGTCACTCATTATTCCATGACCACTAATTTGTGCAATCATCAAGTGGCTTCACGATGTAATGCTCTAATGTTTTTTAAATAATTTTTGATCTGTTTTTAACTTGTTCTTGTCATATTTTATATAATTTTGACCATTGTACAATCTATCCAGCTCTCACCATGTTACTGGACGTTTCCCTCATCCTATACGTAAACAACAATTAGCAACATCCTCACATACTACTGTAAGTTGAGTCAATTTAAATTCATTTTACACCTTTGTTGCTACTGTTATCATTGTAATTGCAGCTCCTGATGATGATGGCAAAGTCCATTGAAAGCTAGAGAGAATTAAAAAAAGTATAAAGAGTCCTCTTTGCTTAAATTTTGTCGAAGTACCCAACAAAAGGCGGAAAATATATATATATATATATATATATAAGTTATAGGGCTACCCTGTAGAAGCTAGAAAATAGAAAATGCAAGTCAGCACATCATCGCAGCGCCTAGCAACCGTTGAAATGCAACATGATATGTTTCCTGTTTTTACTCATGCTAACGAACATTGTACTTGTATAATTAAAATTTAGTCTTAATCTAACTTTCGTACCATCCACTACTGTATTTTCGGAAATAAATATTCTTTAAAAAGGCACTTACGTTATCCCGAAATATTAGTGGCGCAGCCAGTAGGATATTTGGGGGTTGTTTACGGCTTATAAACCACCCTTCGTCGAACGATTAACCAAATACGAACCGAAAAAAAAGTCTCGCGAATCGGTAATTTCGGTCGGTCGCGTGGACTCAACCATCTAGAGGAATTCCAACTTGGTGGATCGAGTAGCCAAGTGAGAAGACGTCAACCAAGGGGCCAAGGGAATATTGGACCAGAGGACCAAAGGAATATTGGACCACGGCGGAATCTCTACTCTGCAGCATACAGGGCATGGAACTTCTATTGGTATTGCTGTAAGTACCTAATGTCTTTTAGAGGACTCGAAAATATTAATTCTGATAGCAGTGATAGCGCGGAATCGGATTCTGACTCACCAATAACTAATTCGAATATTCAATTCTCAAGACCAATTTTTAGATCACCAATTCTGAATTTACCTATTAATAGTGAAAATCAATTAAGTAACGTCACAATGACTACTAGTTCAAACAATGTACCTTTCCTAAAACCAGAATACTTGCACATGATTCCTGATTTTCATGGTGAACCAGAATTATTACCCAGATTTCTTGAAATTTCAGAGAAATTAGTCACGAAATTTTATAATGCAACAAATCCAGAGGACTTTCAAAACGAATATTTGATGTCAAGTTTGCTTGCGAAAATAAAAGATGACGCAGCACTTAATATTTCTTCGTCTCACATAAAAAACTGGCAAGATTTAAAAAATGCTCTTCTCAATGCTTATGCAGATAAGCGCGATCTTTTCACGTTGAATATAGAGATGGTAGAATTAAGGCAAAATCAAAACGAAAACCCTTTTGAATTTTATAATAGGATTCAACATCTGTTAAATTTACAAATTTCATACTCTGTATCGCACTTACCAGAAAATGAAGCTATAATAGTTAATAACTATTGTAGAAATCTAGCTTTAAGAATTTTATTAAGAGGTTTGAAGGAACCTATTGGATCTTTAATGCGTACAAAAAACCCGGAAGATCTCAATCAAGCTTTGCACATGCTTACGAATGATTTTCAGTTAGAGGCAGTACAACAAAATCAATTTAAACAGAAGTATGGTCAAAAACATCATCCGAAGGCAAATCAATTTAAGCGAAATCCTCAAAATTTCCAAAACTCACAGTTTAGACCACCCTTACCTATTACTAATTATCCTCATAACCAAAATCATCGTAGCCAGAACAATGCTAGACAAACACAGCAACCTAATGTGTTTAGGCCGAATCAAAATCAATCGTTTCCTAAACCTACACCTATGTCGACATCAACTAGAAATACATTCAGACCTCAGCAAAATCAATCGTACCAAAGAAATCCAAATAACAATTATTTTGTAAATCACAACAATTCGAGACCCAATTACGTGGTTGAGGAATTATTTAATATAGACCAGGAGCCACAGGTTGACTACCCAAACGAACCTAATGATTCGAACCAAGATAACGATGGAGATCAATTTTTTCGGCAAACAGCCTCGGATCAGTAATGCCTCATTATGAGCTAATGAATACAAATAGCGATAGTGAATTACCTTACATTATTTTTCCTAAGTTACATTTGAAAATATTGATAGACACAGGTAGTACGAAAAGTTTTATTCGTCCAGAAATTGCGGATAAATATTTTAAAGATTCGATTAAAAAGGATCCATTTCAAATTTTCACGGTTCATGGAAGTTCAACTGAAAATTTCAGTACTACAATACCTTCTATTGATATGTTCAACACAAAAGTGAACAATAAGTTAAAGTTTTATCTTTTCAATTTTCACAAATATTTTGATTGTTTATTAGGAGTCGATAACTTGAAACTAATGAAAGCATTTATTGACCTAGATAATGAAACATTGGTACTTCCAAATACCAGTACGAAGATACATTTTCATAAAACATTACCTAAAAATAAGTAATTTAGATCCATTGAGAGTAGATCAGTTCGCGGATTACGAGTTGGCTACTACAATCAGTGAAACTAATTTACATAATTATTGTACAGATCAAGTTAAGATCGATTTTTCTAAATTTAGAACGGAACATATGAATTTCGAAGAGAAAAATGCGATTATGAAGTTAATTAAAGATTATTCAGACATTTTTTATTTTGAAGGAGACAAATTAACATTTACTAACAAAATTAAACATAAAATTCGAACTACAGACGAGATACCAATATATACTAAGTCGTATCGATATCCAGAGATACACAGAAAAGAAATCCAAAATCAAATTCAGAAAATGCTTAACCAAAATATTATTAGACATTCAACATCAGCATATTGTGCTCCATTATGGATAGTAGAGAAGAAGCTCGATGCTAGCGGTAAAAGAAAATGGCGCGTAGTCATCGATTACAGAAAGCTCAATGAAAAAACTATTGGAGACAAATACCCCCTTCCAAATATCAATGATTTGTTAGATAAATTACGCAAGTGCCAATACTTTACGACACTCGATTTAGCTTCCGGGTTTCACCAGATTGAAATGTCTGAAGAAGACATCGAGAAAACAGCTTTTAATGCGGAAAATGGTCATTACGAATTTTTGCGAATGCCATTTGGATTAAAGAATGCACCAGCCACTTTCCAAAGAGTTATGGATAATATTTTGCGTGGAATTCAAAACGAAAAATGTTTGGTTTACTTAGATGACATTATTATTTTTAGCACAAGTTTACAAGAACATATTGAAAGGCTAAAAGAAGTTTTCGAACGTTTAAGACAGGCAAATCTCAAAATTCAGCTGGATAAATCAGAATTCTTGAGAAAAGAAGTTGCTTATTTAGGACATGTAGTAACCAAAGACGGAGTAAAACCGAACCCAGACAAAATTTTAGCTATTCAAAAATACCCATTACCGAAAACTGCAAAACAAATTAACGGATTTTTAGGATTATTGGGATATTATAGAAAATTTATTAAGGACTTTGCGCGATTAACAAAGCCTTTGACAAAATGCTTGAAAAAAGATGCTACTATCGATTACAAGAATCCAGAATATATTAAGTGTTTTGACACGTGTAGAAATTTATTAATGAATGAGCCAATTTTACAATATCCAAATTTTGAAGAACCATTTATTTTGACAACAGACGCTAGTAATTATGCAATTTCTGCAATTCTTAGCCAAGGAAAAAAGAAAAAGAACTTCTTGCTATAATATACGGTGTTAAATATTTCAGACCATACCTTTTCGGTAGAACCTTCACGATCGTTACAGATCATGCACCATTACAATATTTAATGAATCATAGATCACCAAATTCAAGACTAATCAGATGGAGATTATCTCTTGAGCAATATGAGTACAAAATTGTCTATAAAAAAGGAAAATTGAATAAAAACGCAGACGCATTGTCTAGAATTGAGCTCAATGCTAATGAAACCAAGAACGTACACGACAACCCTCCAATTTTTGATTTTATTGACCAATTCAATAGTCAATTAGCATCCACTTCCGGTGTACAAACACGTAATCAAAATTTAGATCAGAATGATAGTCAATCAATGATAGTAGAAGCCAATCATAGCAAAATCGATATAGATATTGAAGAATCAACCGATCAAACAATTCATTCTAGCCACGAACATCCAATTATAGGAATACCAATAACTGATACTCCAGTCAACTATGGTAAAAATCAGATCATTATTTCACAAGTAAATTTTTCACCTGCTGAACCTTCTATCATAAAATTATTCAAGGATAAGCAGAGAATACTTATTCAGTTTTCTAAAGACAATTATGAACAAGAAATGGTAAATTTTATTAAGGAATATGTTGCACCAAAAATTAAATATCATCTTTACTTTGAAGATCCCATTTACGAACAATTCTGTTCTGTATTACAGAAGTATTTCAAAAATTCTGAAATCAATATGACAAAGTGCACGAAGAAATTAATTGATATCACAGACGACACTGAAGTAGAATCAATTATTAGAAATCACCATGAAGGAAAAACTAATCACAGAGGTATCGAAGAAACTGAAAAGCGAATTAAGGCACATTATTATATTCCAAAATTATTCAATACTGTTAGAGATTTTATTAATCAATGCGAAACATGTCTAGTTACAAAATATGACAGACATCCTCTTAAATTGCTTTATAACGTAACTCCAACAGGCACAAGGCCTTTCCAAATATTGCACATAGATAGCATAACATTAGAAAAATCTAAATTTTTGACAATTATCGATTCATTTTCGAAATATGCCCAAGCATATAGGATAAACTCAGCACAGGCTACAGAAATATCAAATAAATTGATTAAGTATTTCACACACCATTGTATACCTGGGCAAATCATATCAGATAATGGTATAGAATTTAAAAACTCAGTCATTAAAGAACTCTTAGCAATGCACAAAATCGATATTCATTTTATAAGTTCTCAACACCCTGAATCTAATGGAATGATAGAGAGATTCCATTCTACTCTAATTGAACATATTAGATTGTTAAATAACCAGGAAAAATTTAAGAAAGAACCTATAGAAATTAAAGTCAATTACGCAGTTTTAGCATATAACAATACGATTCATTCTGTTACAAATTTGAAGCCTTATGAGATTATAACAGGACATTTAGGCACTGAATCACCATTCAATCTTGATTTAGAATATCAGTTAGTGAACAATTATGTCCAAAATCACAAAGAGAAAATGAACATGTTGTATAGTAAATTAAATTCCGATTTACAGCAGAATAAGGTAAAAGTTATTAGTAAGTTGAACGAAAATCGTGAACAATTACCATCTATTTCAGAAAAAGTGTATGTTAAGAACAAACAGAAACAGAGCAAAACACGTAATAAGTATAAGCCTGAAAGTATTTCAAAAGTAGATAAAAATCTTAAAACCGCCAAAATTAAGCCAACACATGGCAATACAACTGATAAAATTCATTTGTCAAACATCAAAAGACCAAGAAAGGTTTCTGAGAATAAAAAATCATTTACAGGTTCTTCACCAGCACACAAGCCATCCAAATAAAGGATATCAGCCAAAATTTGGGGATATTACCAATAAATTTAGGACCAGCTAAACTCCAAATTTCCGAGCATACCCTCGTACACTATTATAGATTAGAAGATTTATATAAGGAATATAATAAGCTAAATAACCAATACGATAATTTTAAGCTTAAGATTTATAAGTATGGTACAGATTTCGAAGATTATGATAGAATGATTAACATTACTCAACAATCTATTTTAAGAAAAATAGAAAATATTCGTATACATTATACTGCCCATAATAGATCACGTAGAGGTTTATTTAATGGAATTGGTAGTGTAGTTAGATTCATAACAGGTAATTTAGATTCACATGACGGAGAAAAAATTTACAAAATTATTAATCACATGCAGAACAATGAGAAAAGCATTAAAAATCAACTAAAATTACACTATTCTGTGAATCACGAGCTGATCGAAAATTTTAACTTCACTCTTCAAAATATTCATCACAATGAAAATCTATTAAAGTCAAAAATACTGCAACTGAATGAAATTGCGTATGCAAGCACTATGAATGAAAATATTCTTTTTGCAAAGGACATTTATCACTCACTTTTAATGATTTACAATTTTATTCTCAGTACATTGCAAGATATTGAAAATTCTGTTACATTCTGCAAGTTAGGAGTTATGCACCCGAGTATTATCAGACCAAGCGAATTACATAAGGAACTTTTGAAATTATCTTCCCATTATAAAAATATGCTTCCTTATGATGTCAAATTCGAAAATATGTTAGATTTTGAATCACTTATAAAGGTACACTGTAAGATTGATTTCAATCAAATTATTTACTTCTTATCTATTCCAATTGACTTCAACGATACATTTGAATTGTATTACATGCACCCAATACCTACAAAATATGGGTCAGAATTCATGTCGATTTTTCCAAATTTCGAATACCTTTTGGCATCGATTGATAAACAATCAATCAAACCTCTAAGTGGCATTTGTACCAAAAGCAATATATACCACTGTCCTCGTCAAGCCGAAGTTAGTACAAATATATCCTGTGAAGCCAACATTTTGAAAAATGAGAACGCCAACAGTTGTCATCTTACCAAAGTCAAGATTATCGAAAATCACATTGAACTTATACCAGAGATCAACCAGTACAGTCATTCAACCCAATTGAATCTGAAGAAATCGATTATATCACACCCAGTGCTTGGACTATTATCTTGTACATTTTATTCACGTCTATGGGCATTCTACTTATTTATCGAAGGTTCAAGAAGAATAAGAATGCACCTACACATCCTGCTCCAATTCCAAGGGAGTCACATACAAATGATCCAGAAGAAATCGAGCTACCTTCCAGGAAACTGAATCTTCCAGGAGAAGCTTCATTCTAGGGGTGGAGGAGTTATAGGGCTACCCTGTAGAAGCTAGAAAATAGAAAATGCAAGTCAGCACATCATCGCAGCGCCTAGCAACCGTTGAAATGCAACATGATATGTTTCCTGTTTTTACTCATGCTAACGAACATTGTACTTGTATAACTAAAATTTAGTCTTAATCTAACTTTCGTACCATCCACTACTGTATTTTCGGAAATAAATATTTTTTAAAAAGGCACTTACGTTATCCCGAAATATTAGTTATATATATATATATATATATATATATGGAAAGGGACTCAAATGACGACCGATTAACAATTTCAAATTAACAAAGACAATCACATACGCAACAGCGATCATAGCAAGCAAACCTGGAATGAACTATTTTCATACTAAGAACTACTCTGCAAGATATTCCGCTGTTTTTTTGACGTTTTTAGCTTTTTGCATAATCCTCTACTGGTGTTGAGGTTTCTGCCTACGCAGCTAGTTCAGCAACAAAAATAAAAGAGTGCATCTGTGCATGTTAGCTAAAAGTCATTTTATTGTCTAAAATCATGCAATGCGTATGACAAGTTTTCAGATACAAACGCTATGCTGCACGTCTATGATGTGAAATGATTCCTCGGATTTAAAAGCTAGGGAAACTGCTTTCTCTCAGTTGAACTGTTCATGGTGAAATTTCTTTCCAGAGCGTTTTGTATCTCAGATGAAGTGGATTGCCATTGCGATATTAAAATGTATGTATGAGGGGTTAAGTTTTTCGGAAATACCAGCATGAAGGTCTTGAAGTTGTGGAAAATAGTGGCACAGTCATTACTATTCTTCAACATGCTGTAGTTAGGAAATCCTTTATTTGAGTATACAACTTCTGTATATCAATTTAAGGGGAAATTAAGACAAGTCAGTATTTTAACATTCAGTTTGTCAGAGCTTGGATGTGCTTCTTACATTCGATGAGGTGAAATTTTAGGAAACAGTTATATTCGGACACGTGAAGTGGACCAGAATTATTTGTTGACATACATGTTTCCTGTGATAGCTATGTATCGTTTGGGGAATAACTAAATTTGACGAAAGATAAGAAACCCAAATATATCAAATAAACTGTATATATATATATATATATATATATTTTCCAAATCAGGTGTAGAACCTAAAAATGTAATAAAATATACGGATTCTGAACAAATTGTTGATGCTCTAACATGGAGTCACACCTGTGCATTTTATAAGAAAATGATTGGGAAGTCTACATAATGAAATAGTTGTCAAAACATCTGCAAATGGTCCGAACCACCAAAACCCATTAAGTTTACAGCCTTCCAACAAAAACTTTATCCTGAGAACTAACTAAATTTATCAAAGATAAGAAACCCAAATGGGAGTTCGGTCCTGCAACCGAGTCAGTTAGTCTATCTGACAGTGAGCTCGTGAATTTACCGTATTAAAAGTGAACCATAACACAAACAATTTTCGACTTGCTACCATATAGTGCAAATCACGAACCAGGACGCATTGTGAGTAGGAAATATTGTGCTATATACCGAGAACATAGTAAATCAGTGGATCAAATACTCAACATTCCAATCTCAAGCGTTCGGGAAAAACGCGTCCACAATTTGGACCTCGAAAGAACAGGTCCGTATTCAGAAATGATATTTTTCCATACTGATATAAAACCTTAGCAACAATGACATCAACACCGATTAACCAACCCACACACTATTCCACAATTCTAACTACATATAAACATCCAACTCAAGAACAAGCTATAGTTTTCAATTCCATAGACGGAGCAAGAATACAAGATTACTTGCTCCAATTAGGACCAATGATTGACCCGAAGAACATTTTGTTTTGCTCTAGAATTTCCAATAACAGAATTTGCATATACCTCTCCAGCAAGGAATTAGTAAATAAATTCGTAGAGAACCCAGGGGAAATTGTAATACAAGGAGAAAAAATTAAGGCCCGTAAATTAATTTCACCATCGGACAGGTTAGTGCTATCGAACGTTTGCCCAACAATACCACACGCAGTTTTAAAGGAAAAACTACAAGATCTAGGCTTGAAATTAATATCTTCCATAACATTTTTGAGAATCGGAGCAACAGTACCAGAATACAATCACATATTAAGCTTCAGGAGGCAGGTATATATTACACCTCTAGAATCTAACCAAATACCTGAGTCCATCGAAATCACTCACGACAGTCTATCATATCGCATCTTCTTATCGCTAGACAGTCAGAAATGTTTTA